TTTACCAAAATTTAAAAAACTGCTTTCTGACGAAATATTCCAGTAATTTTGATTTATCTTAAATTTCTGGAGTATGTGTACATGTGAGCATATAACATTTAAATTTAGTCATTTTAAACATAAATCAGATAGCATATCTTTTATGTTACATTGAGTAATCTTCAGTGCTATATAATTAATTCCTTAAATATGAAAGTATGTGAAACTTAAATTAACTATAGCAAATCATTCCATATAAATATGCTATGCTTGTATTAGTCTAGAAAGAATCAATTATGCGTAAATATTGTATTATGCATGTCAAGTAACAATTTGTCAGCGGTATAGATATCATTAATTTAAAGGAGATAATTACGATATGTGTGGCTTTTGTTTTAGCACAGTTTTGCTCCCGTTACTTTTAAGCTAAACATATCACTTGAAATAAATTTCTTTCTAAATTCATAGGGATATTATTAACAATTCTTCTTTATAAATATAAAGTTTATCCCTTTATTTATATAAATAATTGAAATGCTTAAATTTGACATTCTAATAAATATTTTATCTTAACTTTCTGAAAAATTGAATTTCTTTTAAAATGTATAAAAATGAATTAAATCCTTAATTTTTTCCAGTCTTATGATAATAAAATTTTAGAATCATCAGTTTGTATATCCAGTATATATTATAAGAAAGGGCTGTTGTGAGGGCTGTAAGTGATAGTAGATCGGACTAGCAGTCGGAAGGTCTGCGGTTCGTATCCGTGAGAGAGCATAGAAAATTTTTCGTATTTTCTCCTCAGAAAAACGGAATGTATGGAAACGTGATAGTCTCTACGACTAAGATGGAAAGTCTCTACAGATAATTGAAAACGTGAACACATGAATTAGGCCGACAGAGTCTCGTGCTTCTTCTCTTTCGCCCTATAAGTGGGAAAAAAATAAGGAATTATGCCATTCTCCCTATCTTGCTACAAATGGATGTTCTTCCAATTAGAATTTGGAAGACTTTGTTGGTAGAAGAATAATGACAGCCCTGCTGAATTTTTCGCATTTCTTGCTTCGAAAAAATCCAAGGTCCGCCTATTATTCCGCCTTTCGCAAATTTTTCAAATTTACTTTTTGTTTCTGGTATCGCTTTTCCATTACAGTATGTTGATAGGTGAAACAACCCCGTAAAACGTTTTTTACATAATTTACATTCAAGTTACTTTGAAACACAATTTTCGGAATTAAACTTCCTACATATGGGTTCCCTCTTTTTTGATACTTCTAGTAAATTTATATTAAGAGATAATATAATCAATATTTCTTTAGTAAATAAATTATTATTATCTTACTTTGCGCAAGTATTAGAAAAACTTGTTTTGAGCTAAGTGAATTTTAGATCATTCAACATTATACCTTAGAGAGTATATCTTTTTTTCTAGTAGATTTCGTATTGCTTGAATTTTGAGGGGGAAAAGGAAAAGTCAAGATTTCTACAAATTAAAAAAAAAAAAAAAAAAAAAAAAATGTACTTTCCTCCGTTCAGTGCTGTATCTCTTTTTTTTACTGACGAATTAACACCCAATAGATAGGCTGTTTTTTCCCGAAAGGTTCAGCCTTTGTGTAAACGATTATAGGGAAACCGGAAAAGCAATAAAATAATTTTTCACTCATGAATCGGCATCTTCAAGAAGCATCGACTCCCAGTGAGTAAAAGCGACCATCTGGGAAGATGTATTTTAGCATAAAAAATGGTTTGGAAATCCAAATAACATTAATTTAGAGAACTTTTTATGGATGCAATATATAATTCTTAGATAAAAGTATAAAAGTAAGTAAAAGGGGGAGCGATGTAGGGTGTTTTTCGCTACTTTTAATTTTTAGAATAGGGCCCCAAACATATTACTGTCGACCCTGTATTTAGATTTGCTAACTTTCTCGATAACCTACCGAGTTCAAATTTTGTACTCGGTAGCACGCGATATCTATCTTCTAAGATAGAAATATTCCACTTCCGGTGAACTTTCTAAGGAAAGCTTACATGCATTTAGGTTTACATATAGAGAAAAATCCTGAAAATTCCATGCCGCTGATCTATTCCGTCGCTGAAAGTCCTCTATGAAGGCATCTTTCTCCTTAAAAGCAGATAGTCCTTGTGTGTTTTGCTGTATTCAAATATCCTAAACTTCAAATTACGGCACCTATCACTCTAAAATCAAGATGAAAGCTTTCTAACAAGATTTTAAATCGGGCTGTGGGGGTTCCAGTGGCCAATCGCTAAAACCGCTGAATACCTGGTAATTTGACAGGGGTTCAAATCCTGACGAACCGCACTTGTTCTATGAAAGTTTTCCAGGGTTTTTTCTACGTTCAGAGTGGATGAGATCTAGTTCCCCTTAGAAATTATCTCCATGATAGTTTCATCAGTCCTCTGAACAGATTCCAAATCCATTAAATTTTCTTTATTAAATACAATTATAATTCTTTCTTTTTTAGAGAAATCGCAGGGAAAAAACTGTAAACATCAAAACGAGTGCGATTACGAATATTTTAAAACAGTTAAATTTTGAGCGGAAAAGTTTTTTTTTAATACGCTCATAAGTAACTGAAAATTAGGGGAAGAAAAAATTTTAAATTGGCATAAAATTTTGTTGATTTCTACAACAACTTATATAAATGCGTTTTCAAAAACTTCTGCTGAAATATAAAGAGTTGTATTTGTAAAGCATTTACTAATGAGATCTGTAATTATATACTCAGCTTTTAGTTTTCATAACTTCCATTCATCAGAATAAGTCATTAAGCGTAAGGGGGGGGCGGAAAAAGGAATTTTAAAGAAAAGATTATTTTTTAAATGACTCAAAATTTCCTGAGCTAGTATAAGTAATTATGTAACTTAAATAATTAAATATTTGCGAAAATTTTGTTGACCTCTCTCGGTCTTACCAATATTTCTGTATAGATATAGAACATAATTGCATATCGATAATGAGTATCATAGGCAGTGGAGGATGTAGAACATCACGTTATATAATTGTGCTTGTCGCAAAAGCAGCCACTTTGATAAATAAACATAACTGTCGGAAATCGCGTATGAATGTCACATATATGCTTTATAATGCCAAGAATGTTATAAAAATGATGGTTATCTGATATCAACATTTACCGAACTTTCCAAAATGTTTAAAAATATAATATTTAAGAGTTGGCAAGTTAGTTTAAAAAATTGTATGCATTTCAATCACGGTGTTTATCGCTATAATCAGAAGCTCGTCATCGATATTTAGACTATTTCTCGATAACCTACCGAGTTCAAATTTTGTACTCACACCGTTTACAGATGGAAATACGCATGGTAAACCGAGTTTTTATAAAATTTGATTAGAGGTCTTAAAAATTTATTTTAAAAAAAATTTTTTGCGCATATTTCCATTTAAAGAATAAACTAAAAATCTCACAGATTTTAAGTTTGCATCACTTTACAGAGCATAAAATAGTTTTTGAAATAAAATTTGCATAAAATTAATATAATTTCTGATTTTGGGAGAATTTTTAAAACAGTACCAAAAGGAGAAAAATAATCTGTCGTACAGATTAATGGGAATAAGAGCCCCTTTGAAAAATTCCTGTACAGTTTTATAAGAAGAATAATAGATTCTTAAATAACGAGATCAAATATCGAATCGCATTGTCAAAAGTATAAGATTTATAAATTTATCAAGAAAACCATACGTTTGTTATTCGTGATATAAATTTGTCGAATTTTTTTAAAGAGAATTATTTAATCACGTGTTCCCAGTAAATTATATAATACATTATTTTTCTCATTTCAATTCATTAATAATTTTATGAGTCATAAATAAAAGTTTATTTTGTAAAAACTTGTTTATTTTATTCAATAATTATTCTAAAACGAAAATTCTTAATTCCTTTTATATATACATTCACTAACTGGTAATAAATTTGTTTCCTTAGAGTCAGTGCAAGGACTTTATCTCAAAACATCAAGAAGACTTCTCCCCGCGATAATGACAGCCATTACCCATTGTCGTCAGGGGTTGCGTGGACCATTGTCCCCTTAGGCAATGTGGGTTGGAAGACGTACAAAAATACGGGCTATTCGTTTTTGGCGCATTTTTTCGCTAATACGAAAACATGGGACGATCCGTTTTGGAGGCTACATTTAAACTTACAATAATCCGTAACGAACCGTTAAGAGACCTGCATAAAAGAACGAGATAATCCAGGTCAAAGCGTTAAAGGGTTAACTTCTTCAGGTGAAACTTAAGCAGTTATTTTTTTAGTTGACCTTTTATTTATTTATTTATTTATTTATTTATTTATAAAGCACAAAATTCGCAATAACAGTGGCAGGGATTTGATTTCAAATTTAGCAGACATCTCCACATTGAAGCCAATGTCAAAAAGATAACAGAAACCAAATGCATTTTTTGAAACATGCTATTATGGACTGGTGCTATGCTAGTATGGACTGGAAATAGGATGTTTAGTAGGCTATCCCTTTGGATTTAGTTGCTTCCTGCAAGAGCCTATTTTGCTGCCCTCTTGCCATATTAATTGTATAGTTTAAGCCAATATTGCCACCTCCCATAACTTGTAACCTTATGTAACAAACTTTGATATTTAATTGCATTTTCATTATCAAAGTTTGTTACATAAAGTTACAACTTGCCGCTTTATGTAACAAAGTGGAAGAAGAAGTTTATAACAATGATTTCATATTCCATACATAAATTAGACTATTAGCCATTTCATATCAGTGTGTTCTTAATGAAAACTTACATTTAAATGACAAATTTTTGCATAATATTTATGAATATTTAGGATTTAATACATAATTTCTTTCAACAACCTTCCTGTTGGATTTAATTTCCATCACAAGAAGTTTTAATTAATTCAAAAGAAATACAATACTCTAATTAGTTCAGATTTATTATGTTCATGAAACAAATTTAAATAATTTTTGCATAAAAGATGGTAATAGTTAACTTATATAAAGGAAAGAATTACCCTCTATCATCTCTTTTAGTTCGCAGAACAATATCACCAGATTTACACTTTGGGCACTTCATTATAGGCATCAGCTGAGGGTTTGAACTATCTGTAAGGAAAAATAAAATTTGTGTGTATCAATCCAATAGTTAAAATACATATGTGCACATGTAGGGTAATTTCAAACTCTAAAAGTTTTTATTGGAAATATGAATCAATAAATTAATTTTTTCAATGACCAGCTAGTTTAGAATTAACATTACTATATGTTTTAATAATGTTTTATGTTGAGTCCACTCTGGATAAACAAGTTATTTCAATTTTAATTTCTCTCTTTCAAAATAAATAAAAATTAGCATCACTTTTAGTAGGCAATTAGTTTTCATTGAGAATAAATATCTATCAATACTACATTTTATATAATCCAGGAAAAACATTTCACTGCTTTCGTTTTAACTCATGAATGGCTTTAACAAAATATGCATTTTTTGTCAAAAGTTTTAAAAACAAATATGCAGTAGTACAGCTTCTAATCAATATCAAAGTAATTTGAATCATATGAAGGCAAAGGATTTGAAATAGGATGTTTAGCTAAGTTGAAGATATCAGAGTTACCTGACTTGGTGGACAAGAAGAAAATGGGAATGTGAAATATTTAAATCTATAAAAATACATACTACAAAAACTTACAGATTTGGAATTTTATACTAAAATTCCACTCAAATATCAAAAAGTTTTAATTTCCCGTTTTAGGTCTTTTAATATTTCCATATACTTCAAGAACTATTTTTACAGAACAACCATAAAGAGCTCTACACTATTGTTTTAAATTACTCAGTTCACATGCATCTTCCCTTTTATATACATAGCGCAAAATTCTTGACCACTAAGGTCTCTCTAAGTTCATGTTATCTTTCTACTTTCATATATATAATATATAAAATTATAGTTAACTAGTATCAGTTAAGTAATAATTAGTAATAGTTAATAATAATCTTTTGGTATTGAAAGTGACCAGCAAGCCAATTAGGAACTGAAAATGTTATGGTAGAATCATGAATTTATTTTTAATACCAGTAAGCATTATATATATTCTTAACATTCCTTCAAATTTTCTGATTTGTAGCAAAGGGTGTGCAATAGAGCAGAAACATTTGTTAAGCTGCACAATCTGCATACAAAACTAAGATTTATTTTTTTTTTTTTAATAACAAAAATTTTAATTTAGATGACACAATCAGGTTCGTACGCATTTCTGCACAAGGAAATTAAGTACTTTTAAGGACCATTAATGAAAAAAATTAAGGACCTAGGAGCAAATGGGAACTGAATAAATTAAATTAAAAATATTATATCTATGCCTGAATGTGAGTAGCTTGCATTATTATTAAACATAACTTAACATAATTATTAATATTTTGAGAATAAAAATAATTTTATGAAATTTATCAAGTAGCATTTAAATATTTTACACTCATAATAACTGGACATATCTGAAAGAGGATAAGTGACTTTTTAGTTACATTTTACTAACAGTTAGCTTTTTTTTTTTTTTTTTTTTTTATGTCTCCTTTTGTCACACACTTACTCAGTCTAGAGGTTTAGTAAGTAGATTTTATGTCAAGCAGCATAGGTTAAAATGAGCATTAAAATCATAATCAGCATGATTCATAACAAAAGACTGGCTGTTGTCACCGCTCCTGCTCGCCTATAGTAAGACCTGCTAATCAAACAAACCTGAAAGGCTGATGTAGGCATAGTTAGCAAGTTTTGAAAATTAGCTGACGACTGTCTGATGCTGCTTAGTGTCATAGCTTTGTGTAGAGTTCCAGGGATTGTAACTCAGTTAATATAATTTAAGGTTCTATTAGGCCACTAAAGCAATTAGCGATGATAAGTTGTTTTGTATTAAGTCTCACTAGATGCAAAGATAAGTTTCACATAAATTTTTATATTTTTGTGTTTTACCTTGTGACCAAGGTAAAGGTTTAACACGTTGAGCCCGGCGCCGAATTTGTTGTCCTTTCTGTTCAGCCGGCAGCGATCAGCCAGTGGCAATACTGCGATCAAGCGGTGCAATATTGCCGACTTAAATTATTCATAAATTATACAAAAAGGAAGGAGACGCGCATAAAGTCCAAAAGTATCGTTTGAAATGTTATGATGACAATTCAAAACTATTTGGATGCAAGATAGCCAAAAATGTAACCAAAATAGTTTTTTCATATTGTAATATGTGTAAAGCTAAGCCGTATTTTTGTTTAGAATGTTTCAATAAATTTCATTAAAACTACTTTTAATCACATTTCATTGAGACTATACTTATTTTTTAACTTTAATACTGTCGGTCCGACGGACTGACGCCAGCCAAACGAAAATTCCAGAATAATATTTGTTAAAAAACCCTATTAATATCACAATCTAATAAAATTTCACAGTTTAAAATACATGCAATTTATGACATTGATTTTTAAACAATATTAGGATAATTACACATTAAAATCTACAAAACATAAAACTCAACAAAATAATTATGCGTCTTTTTAATTTGAAGGACATTTTGGCTAATTTATATCGATTTCCTTCTCCTTAAACATGTTTTCTAACAATAGAAATTGTCTCAATATGCAAAACAATGTTCTCATTAGTTTCTGCGTGTTTTATCTCCCAACTGCCAACCTCTCCACAACCTATGAGGGCTTACTTGATCTGGTAAAAGTTAAATAGTCCAACAACCCCCTGACAGACGTGAAACAAGTTATCACTATGTCTGAAAGTAACTATAAATCAGATAATAAATTTAAATAAAGGTTTAAATAAGCTTCTTATTCAAAAAGAACTTTGAACATCTAAGCTTGTTCTTATGCAAATAAAATCATTTACAGTGCCGGGATATAATTAAACAAGAAAAGTCAAATTCAAACTAAAAATATGGACTAGTGGTCAAAGACTATATTTAATTTCAATTTAATCTGGTTCAGTAACTATTGTCATAATAAACTCAAATGTCAGCAACAGTAATGGAAAGACTAATAATTACAAATTATCAGAGCTGACACAACTAATGCAAATAGCAAGTGGAGGTCAGAAACACGTCTTACACTCCAGAAACCTTCATTTTATCACATTTTTCTGGAATCTTTTAGAATCGAGGGTCTATAAATTTGCCTTAAAATCTTTCTAAACTTTCCAAGCTTCAATGTCTAAAATCCTAAAGAAAAATTACCCCTACCAATTCTGTAACAGCAAAAACCCAGAAATATTTTTTAAAAAAATCGGAAGAAAAAAGTGTGAAATCAATTTTATAGAGAAAACTGATGCATTTTCTGAGAATTCTGATCATTCTGAGAAATGGGAAAAATTCTTACCATGAAAAAATTAAAAAGACATTTTTAATTAATTACATAGCTTTTTTGCTTTTGCTAAAAACTGTTTTGTAAACTGTGCTTTATAGCATTATTCCTTGCTTATTTTTCAAATTCAAAAAATTGTACAATATATGGCCAAAATGGAACTTTATAATATGACAAAGAAAAAGAAAAATACTTTATTTTAATATTATTCTTAAATATAATTCCAATATATTACTATTATTTTAATGAAATTTAACAAAAAAAAAACCATCAAAAAATTCCCAGATCTCGGAATTAAAAATTTTCTATAGAAACCGATCTTAAAATCGCCAAAATGTTGATAATCGCCAAATTTAGAACCGTTTAATAAAAGAATTCACATCCCCAAAAGTGGAAAGTTCTTTGAGAGCTCTTCATTACAAAAAATTAAATAATTTTGAAATGCTTATGTTTCACTTCTTGTTCAAAAACTCGAGTATCCCACCATTATTTATATTACAAATAGGAAAAAATTATAACTCATGAACCCATTCAAAAAATAGCCATATTTGTCAGTGAATCGCCAAAAATATTCCTGCAAAATGTTAATTCACACTCAAAATGACAGTCGTAAAAACAGACAGAAATTTCAGATGATTAAAATTAAGGACCTTCTGCGGCTTTTGGCCAAAATTAAGGACTTTTAAGGACCAAAAATCCATTCCAAAAAACTTAAGGACTTTTAAGGACTCTTAAGGACCGTACGAACCCTGACAATACTTACGTATTTAAGAAAAATAATACGAATGTTTTATGTTAAACTTTTAAAAGTTAATGCATTAATATGTTAATATATATCACAGAAATTGTACATCTTATATAACAATGAAAAGGTTACCTTCAACAACTTGTCCTGGTTCCACATTAAAATACACTGATAAGGCAGAATCCAGTTTAGCTGCCTAAAAATGTATATAAAAATAAATCTAATGCTTATTAACAAGGCAGATACCATAATATTTAATAAAAAATTGTTTTTTCTTTATAAAATCTGACTCAATAAAGTATTTTACCTGACCAACTGCTTCAATAAAATACTCCTTATATTTTGATACTTGCTCACGAAGTACAACTAAAAAGTCAAACACAAGCTTGTCAAACAAATTGTACTCAATGCTAAAAGAAATACTAAAAATTTAATTTATTTTATATGCATTTCAATTACAAAGTAAAGTTAAACAATAGAATATTACACTGATATAGTTATCATTAATTTTTGTTTTGTTTACAAATAACAATGAAAATTTAAACATTTACCTTTTGGGTCTCGTACTCCTTCTGTTATTCTAAAATAAAAAGCAAAATAGAAAGGTATTAGTTCGTAGATATCCTCCCCAATTCAACTGCTGATAATGTTTTGAAAACTAAATCAAACAATAAATTTAAAATCTCCAATCAAAACTATTACAATAAAATATTGCAGTTTTATACAGCATAGTTAAAAAAAAGAGAGAGAGAGAGAGAGGGGTAGTTCTTTTGTTTAACAAAAGCACTGTTTTCACTTAATTAATATTTCACATGTTTAAAACTTGATAAGAGCATTAATGAATAAATAATTTCAGATATAATTATACATTTAGTTAAAGTACTTTCTGATTATCTGCATCCATTGAAAAAATTACAAACTCGTTGTCAACTTTGGAGAGATTTTCAATTTATAGGCAGCTTGGGAGCGAAACATTTGTTATCTTTATGTCTATTTCAATTATGCATCCAAGGAAGCTTAAAAAAATTAAATGCTTACTATTTTCAAGAAATCCTTCTCTAATTTTATTTTGCCCTTAAGTTCTTACCCATGTGTACAATAATCTCTTTTTGCTTTAAAAAAATATCACAGAATTACACAAACATGACATTAAACATTTGGCTATGATTGTCTAAGAGCAGGCTGAAACTTTAACATACACTCAAATGTAATGAAAAAAAAATTAAACTCCACAGTTCATTAACAATTCATTGTACTCAATGCTAAAAGAAATACTAATCAGAAAAAATAAAATGGAAAAGTGCAAGTCCATGTGTACTCAAACAGCATGTGTGCTATGTGCATAGGTTAGCCACATAAATGCTCTTTGGTGGCATTGTAGGTTACCTCATTAATACTTTCTGGCAATATGTCACATTGCATATTCAACAGGTTTTTTTTGGGGGGGGGCTGGCTTTTCAGTAGGAATGTGGATAATAAGAAAGTATCAAAGTAAATTTAATTTCTCCCAAAGTGTGTTTGAAGAAGTTGGAAGAAATATGCAACGTTAAACTTTAGTGTAAGAATTCAACTGAATTCAAGAAAATGCCACTCAGAATTATAATAAAACTAAACCAAAAGTAGAAAACAAACATATTACACATTTCCTTAAGCATGAATTAAATTTTGACTTGAAAATGATTAAATATGAATATGAATTTTTTAAATGTAAAAGACAAAAAATTTTTTAGAAATTTATGCAATTTTGTTTTATGACATGTTTAAATATATTAAACTAAAGACAATAAATATTTGAGTTACATGAATTACTCAGTTTACCACATGTTTGAATTAGAATACACAGACAGCATTTCATAGCATGGAAAAATGGGGAGCAGGGGGGATTGATTTGATTTTTTATTAATATATATATTATATATATAATGTTATATATCTTATATATATATATATATATATATATATATATATATATTATTATATAATATTATATATATAATGTATATAATTCATATGGTTTGACCTAGTAGGATTCTACCGCATGCAAAATATATATATGTATATAATAATATATATATATAATAATAATAAAATTTCCGTAGTCAAGAATACACTTAAAATTCTAACTGTATGTTCTTTTTATTTTTAATGGCGACGTTCTCTTATTTGAAAGTACGTGGAATTAAATCCACAGCCCCGTAGTCAAGTTGTTTTGCCCGCCTTTTCTACACGTACAGTTATAGAATGTTCTGGAAATATTTAAAGTGAACTGGATTGGCTGATGAGGCGGACATCTTTCTTGGAAGCTCCGCCTTTCCAAGAGCTATAAAAGGACTCGCAAAGGAAATACGGGAGGCTTTTCTTAAATGTCACGATGCAGTAAACTTATACAAAAGTTATTAGTAATTCTTTTTATTTACTCCGGTTATCTGATTTTGTTACTGCTATTTCTCCTGAATAATAATAAATGGATCCTTTTTTTTTTAAACTTATCGTCTGATAATTTAAGCTACGACTCAGGCTGGTACATCACATATATATAATTTTTATTTCTGTCTTCAAGCAGCACAAGCGCAAGATGTAATAATAATAAAATTATTACCTTTTTAGATCAGCCTCCAATTCAGCTCTCAAATGGGGCTTGGACATGTGAAATCCCATCATGTCATAACCTAATTTACCAAAACAACAATAAGAAATAAAAAGCAAATTTTTATTCTGATCAATACAACTTTAAAGAAATGTCACATTGGGGAAAATTCTTGACCTTTACAAAATCTCAAATTAACAGCAATTGAGTTTTATGTCAAAAGTTTTCGAACATAAAGAAAATGAAACAATTTAAATTCACTCTCCACAGTGCATAAATCCTTCAAAAAAAAAGTTAAATTCTAAGATCAGTTTCAAAGCCTGTTAATAGGGTATTCAAAAGATATTTTTATTTAAATTTTTAAACGTCTGAAGGTTTAATTTTAAATTTCATTAAATAATATATTTCAAAATCATTAAAATTTTGGAATTTTAATAATTTACTTTTGAGCTATATTTATAAATTATCTTATTACTAATCATAACTATTTCTAGACTTGTAAAATTCTGAATTTATTTTGATGGGTTTTGCTTAGTTATTTTTTCACTTTTAAGTGATTTTGAAAACAGTTTTCTCTCCTTGTTCATCTTTACATATAGAAAACTTTTATTTGTGTTTGAAATGGATATTCACACAAGCCTTTATTATTCTATTCATAAATATTTTGCATTCATACATCAGAACATTTAAGTCTTCATTGAACTATTTCACTGTAATCTATTTGTTCTCAATAAAAAATAAATTCCACTTCAATAAACCAATTAAAAAACACTTATGCATGTAAAATACTGAATATTTCTTAATCTCTAAGGCAGGGGTGTCTGACCCATGGCTAAAAGCAAATATAAATGCTGCCTAAAAAACGAGAAAGAAGCACAAAAGAAATATCAAGACCCCACCCCGATTACATTTTACTGTTGCGACAGGAGTTCAAGGCTAGCTTTCAGCATGGACAGACGAGTTATTTGACAGTCTGAATTGCAATGATAAAACAATCCCATTTTGAGTTGCCAAAATATATAGAAATGATTACTTACATTTCAACACTTTCGACAAATATGCCCCTAAAAACGTGGAAAAATCATGCAACCTTACTTTTTGATTTGATTAATGAATCTGAACATAAATTTTCAGGTTTTTAAAAAAATAATCAAAATGTTTGTATTTTTCTTGACTCATTATATTGATATAGATATTAGCAGTGAATTTTCAAATAAAATGGATACAGTCGCTATCTGACATTCAACTTACAGAAAAATGTGACCACATCTATTTGCTGGACTTTTATAAATCATATCAACCTACAGACAAATATGACTCACTGCACAGTCATACATTATTTATGTCATCCTTATCTGGCAGTAAGTATATTTGTGAATAACAGTTTTCAATGAAAAAGCAAACTAAGAGTAAAATTAGAACCAGAATATCACATGAACACCTTGGGAATTGCAAGCACTTCAATGGAACCAGACACTAATGCACTAGCTTCTCTAATTCAAGGCAAAAAATTACATTAATTTTATGATTTCTTGCTATCTCTGTAATTATAAACAAAATTTATAATGATATTTTATGTACAAAATGTCAAATACAATTCAATATAATTCTATGTTGCTATCATTATATTTAAAAGAAATCATATAATTATAATCATACAATGTTTTTTTGGGGGGGCTCATCAGTCACTATCAGCATTAGGCAGTTGCAGCTTGCCACATGAATCAAGTGAATTGCTGATTCATTTAAAATTGTTTGCATGTATGAGCTTTTTGATATAAGAAACATTGAGCTACACATTTCTCTCCTAGGGACAAAATTAAAAAATTTCTTTCCACAGTTAAACCTGAGCAAAACTGAGAATTTTCAATGAAACCTATAAAACTGTGTGATTTACTTATTTGGGAGGACATAAGCTGCATTGGTGTTAGAAATAATTTGTATGGCCCAGAATATCTCATCTTCCAATGAGGCTAATGGAAGCTTAAAAGATTGGAAACCTCTACCCTAAAGGTTATGGACATAAAATTTCATATTGAAAGATAGCTCCATTTCCAAAATATACAGTTTTCAAAGTAGGGAGAAAATTTACCTTCAACTAAGCCCATCCCCAGTTCACCGGGTATAAAACGACCATTTTCATTTACACCAACATAAAGTCTGGATTTGATAGTTTCTATATGCTCAGCATGAGTAGCATCAGTTCCTACATAAATGAGAATAAAAATTCAATGAAAAAGGGAATTAAAAGAAAATGAGGAAAACTAATTATACCCAAATTTGAATATAAAGTACCTATTCCATGTTTTTCCATCAGTCCTATAAGATCAGCTTCTGTTAGTAGTTCTGGTGCACTTGTTTCTCCTTCAGTCATCTAAAAGATAAATCAGTATCAATTGCCCTTTCTAAATTCAATTAAATTTGATAAAAGAGAAAGAATTGCGAAGTTTTTTTTTTTTTTTAACTTTTATTTGCATGTAAATACCTCTATAGAAGAAGGCTGAAAAACTTCATTTGGACTGTATTCTCCAATAACCTAAAAATTTTCACATTTTGATTAAATTATTCTTCAAAACTAATAAAAAAGCACTTATATCTGAACTAACCAATAACATACTTTTGCATTCCATCTCTCATATGGGTAAACATCGAGATAGTTCCTTGCAATGATCACCAGCCCATTAACAGCAAACTGGGAGAAATCACGAAGAGTAGTAATTATTGAAAACATAGTTTCATTTTAAAATAAGATGCAATTTAACTTTTTTAAAACACATTCTCAATAGCTAAATTTTACACACCCTTTCACCTTTTATTTCAATCTCTATCGTTGTTTCTCGCCCCTCTGCATCTTTGGACACACATGCAAGAAAATGTCGAACAACAAATTCATAAATAGTTTTTTCATTTCCCTACAGAAAGAAAAAAAAAATATAACATATTAAATGAAAAAGACATATATATATGACAATTATTGCTTCTTAATCATTTTTTGAAATTTTAAGTAAAACCTTTGTCTGAGAATAGTGTTAAAAGAAAACATTTTGCAAATGAAAATTTCATTCAGTTGAACTTCATACAATCAACTAGAAGGAATATCACACAGATGAATATCATGTGTTGAATGATTTTTCATATTTCAACTTAGAAATATTGAACATCATTTCTATATTTTAATTGAGAAATATATAAATTTGTCTAGAAAATGTTAACACTAATGACCTGTTTCAAAATATTTCATTTTTTGCCCGTCTTACTATTCCTTATGTTAGCTTCAAAATAGTTTTAAGATTTTTTGGTAAATTTTACACAGATTAATTTTTATTCAAATAATGAAATAATGAGCATTTTTAAGCTTATACCAGGTCAGAATTTTTCAATAAACAGCTAAGAACAAATACAGTCAAAAGTCGTTAATTCGGACACCCGTAATCCGGAAATGATCTATAATCCGGACCTCAAAGCTAAAATCTTTCTACGCATGCGCCTCATTGACGAATGCGCACAGGCGTTTTACTCGTGCGCGCAAGACATTTACGACTGCGCATATCGTCTGTGCAACTACAGAATATGTTTTTGCGTGCGCGTTTAATATATAATGGACGTATCTCATATTTTTCCCCATGGATCCAATTAATCATATTTTTATCATGGATGATCAAAATAAATATGCACTTTTCCGTCTATAAGAATATTTTCCATTTACTGGAAATAATCTGTTTTATACATTTTTACGGTTTATACATTTATTTCACTTCTTTCGTATTAATGCTGACTTCTCGAATTTTTTTATATATGAAAATTTAAATAGGAATCACACGTAGTTACTTTGTATCTCAATTCTTCAATGAGCAGTCAAGTGTCAGGTCACTGAATTTTAAAATTAAAAAAAAAGGCAGAAAATAATGGTACATTTAGGGTTTATATAAAATTTCATTAATTAAATTTGTTTGCTACAATGTGTCTAATTTTCGCTTTTCCATACAAATTTTAATTCAAACCCATAATTAACATAATATGAAAGATAGTTTGAAAACATTTTCGTTTGAAATTTTAGCGTGTATAGCTAGCTCTCTTCAGTTGTGTTTAAATGTGGTCGTCAGAGACTAATTGATTAATTAGCAACTTTTTCTTGAGTCAACTTTAAGAAAAGGTTTTTGACTACACTTTCTTACAGGGTTTGTATGAGTTTGTAATGTCTTTTCTTTCAGGATTTGTATGAAATTTCTTAACAGTTTAGTTTTCTTGTGACCGAAACTTTCCGGAATCTAAAAAACTGCCTTATTTGTTTCGCTAAAGTACAACTAAGAGTTTACGACTAGTCATTCACGATCCTTTAGTAGAGCAAGCTTTTCAAATTTCAGAAAAATATTCATTCAAGATAAAGTAAAATATATATTTATGCAAAGATTATTAAATCCATATAAAATATCTGACTTGATTGACTATTTGTCTCCAATTTTTTCATTACGAAATCTGCAAATCAGTCATTCGTAATCCAATTAATAAGAATATAGACGGACGCATTAAAGTAACTACAGTTTTTTCAACTTTTTTTTAAATTCCTTTTAAGAAGTCAAAGAAATAATGTAATCGCGAAAAATGTCGGGTAATATTTCAAAGAAAATATCCATTTTGACCGCTTTCGATTCCATTTGAACGATCTTTTTGCGTTACATCTCTACGTACGGACAGTATAAAGGAATCTTTTTCCCAAAACAGATTGCGAAATGGGTTCAAAAGAGATTTTTTCGAGACATCTGTACGTACACACGTATGCGTATATCTCGCACGACTCAAAAACGAATAACTTCAGAATGTAGAAACTTTGTATATGGGACTGCTATAATATGCAGATATTACAAACGAAAATTTTGACTTCCGTGCAACTAAAATTGAATAAGATATCTTAATTTCAAAATTTGTGATTTTTGACATCATATTGAATTTTTTGAGGAGTCTGTCAATGAATAAATTAGGCAGGTTCGAGATTGCTTTTGCCCTTAAATGCAGTCAATGATATTCTTTTATGATTTGCTAACTTGTTTAATTTATAATTTGTTATATTTGTTAATTTTCAGACACATAATTTGTAAGAATTCAAGTTCTAAGAATTAAAAAAAAAATTTTTTTACATTATTTTGTAAATTTGAAATGAAACTCTAGCATTGGAAAAATCAAATGGAAACAATTAAGTTAAACGGAATCGTGTTCCGCAAATACGCGCTCGGGAAGGATTTTTACTGCATGTTGATCAATATTTGACCAATATTCACTAATATTTTCCCATAGAAATATTCACTAATATTTATCCATTCTCATCACTTAAGCTCTTAATTCAAAAGCCTTTCATGAACTGATATTTAATTTTCAGTTACATGCATGTGCAAATATTTTGTTCTTCGATTGTGTATGACTCCCTTTATATGATCTAAGATATATGAAGGGAGTCATACACATATCTCTGCTAATTTTTATTGTGTAAGATCACATATTTTGCGTTTTTTTTATAATAAGCACACAATTTCGTAAATATGAGTATTATTATTCCTAAACATAAATATTAGCGAAGGAATGCATTAATTGTTAGATTTCCTAGTTTCTTAAAAACTGCTTTCCTTTGTTTAAAAAAAAAAGCTAAAATATGAACATTTTCGACTTGAAAACCTTTCTGTGACTGAAAGTCTAGGAAAACCGTTTGCTAAAATGAAAATATGGTAAAGACACTGTGTATAATATCTTATATAGATTATTAAGCAACCAAGAAGATTTTTCTTTTTTCTTTTTAAAACACTAAAAGTGCACTAACATAGAAAATGAAAAAAGTATGGCAAGGGTGTGTGAAGTCAAACAAGAATTCAATCCAAGAAATTGAGAGTTAAAAAATGGTATGTAACGAATTTATTGGGAAGAGGAATCAAAGGAGAATCTAACTTTAGAAACTGCTAGAAAAATGTATGATACATAGAGGATTAAAAATATAAAAAAAGGTAAGAACATTTTTTTTGAAACGTGCTTTTTACAAAACCACTTCGGAGTAAAAACATCATGTGCATTTTTTCAGTTTCTTGTTCCCCACATTATACACCCCCTGATACAATACGGAATTACGAGTTAAGCTTACAAACTAAACTCGAGCGCTAAGTTTTAATTAAATTTTTTTATATATATAATACACACTTTTTTCTAACACTAATCTCTAAAGATACGGATGCACAAATAGCGATGCTCTTAATTTAGCATGCAAATCAGCTGCGTTTTTTTTAAAAATATCTTTACTGTTCTGTATTTAATTTGAGATTGTTTTGCTTCGCCTTCTAACATCTGAGGAGTGGAAAAAAATAAAGCAGGATTTAACTACAACCGTATTAATTACAGCTAATTTTTTTAATTCTGGGAATAGTAAGTATGCAAAAACACTTACAATTAAATCTTTTATTTTCGTTCGTTGACAGAAAGTTGAATTATATGGGAAGTTTCCTATAAATTAACAGATAGCGTTTCTAGTGGTTTGGTATCGGGTTGACAAGGAAGTAATTTCGGTTTTCTTAGTGTGAAATAAAACGCAGTTTTTTCTATATAAAATTCAGCTGTAAACAGTTAGATATCTTCCATAGAGATCTTTCTGGTAACTTTACGATTCTGGGCTCTTAGAACTTTTAGATTTTATCTGGAAAAATCTCATACAAGTGCGATGCAAGTCGACTGCAAGTCAACATATGGAATTTGAGATCATCATTATTACTAAAATTGTTGCAATTTAAGAAATGTTATAAATTTTGAAGTAAATGATAATCCGATGGAGCAAGATCCGGACATAATTTGAGTCGTAGAATCGAAATATGGAAAAAAAAAACTGGTATGTCATTTCAGAAAACAACTGATTTCATGTCAAAATACCTATGTTAGAACAATTCTATATATAAATCTAATATTTATCCCAAGTCGCACTTTCGAGACATGGAAAACGCAATCTGAATTTCGTCAATGGCCCCCAGTAGAACGGGACATAGAGAACTGTCCCCTCTTTTGTTCCCTACCAGTGTACTTGCTCCAAATATGATGCTGTAAAGATTTCAAGAATTTTATTTGAAGTCTAAGTTTACCTTACTTTCACAATCTTTAAAAACAAACATGAATAACGTACCAAAAATTCTATAGAAACAGCTAATTAATTTACATTTCGATGTAAATCTTATTAAAAGACTAGCAGCTTCGCTGCCAGCCTTCGTCTGGCTTTTAAATGTATCGGAAAAATGGCTGAAGGAAACACCAAGCGTTAAATTTAAAAATTGCGTAGAATTTTGCTTTGCAGAACAACTTCATATAAAAAGTTATTACGTATAACAAAATTATAATGAAATAAGCAATATCCCTTAATACAAATATTAATTATCCTAATAAATAAATTAACCAACTTCCCTTTGCAAAATCCTAAGAACTCAAATGGTATAAATAAGGTTAAGAACTTTGTTTCCGAAAAAAAATTACTCAAAACTTTTCAATATCTTAAAAACAGTGAAAGGAGCAATAAATAACATAAAAGAATACAAAAAACAAAAAATTCTGAAAAGCAAAGTATAATTAATGATATTTTATCTTATATTTTCAAGAGAAAAAAATTACAATGAAATAAGCTATATGCCTTAATACAAATATTAATTATCCTAATCAAAAAATTAACCAACTTTCCGTTGAAGAAAAAAAATCATGCAAAACTTTTCAATGTCTTACAAACAGTGAAATAAGCAAAAAATAACATGAAAGAAACTAAAAAAAAAAAAAAAAAAAAATTCGCGCACAATTTTACTCTGCAGAACAACTTTATAAAAAACATCAATAAAAATATATTATATATATAAAAAAATGACAATGAAATATACCAATCTCTTAAAAACAGTGACATAAGAAATACGATGAAAAATTGTTGCCAAACCCATATTTCTAAAAGAATGAAACTATTCAAAATGATGCGATTTCATCAGAAATCTATCAACAACAATAAGAAAGGAAAATTGTTGCCAAAATCACATTTTTAAAGATGTGAGACGTGTACTCGGAAACTTCATTTAATTTTTTTTTAAATACAAAATATTATCATTTTTCCAAAATTCTTTTTGTAAAAGCAGTCGCAAGGATGAAAGTTTAACGTGTCCAAAATCAAAGAAAAATAAACTGTACATTTTTAAACATAAACCTTTTTAGAAAATATCCCGTTGAAAAAATGTTAAGCTCACTTTGTTAAATAAATTCGTATATAATCTATTTATTGAAAATTTTAAGTTCGAAAAATAGCTAAGCGCCTAAATTTCATGATGATGTGAAAATGTAAATGTTTAGAGAAAATCTCGCTTTCGTATAGCCCATTATGTCTTAAAATGACGCGATTTCGTCACAAAACATAAAATAAAAAAATTCTAATTCGAATTTCGAAAACATCGCTTCGAGGTGCATTGGCTTTTGTCTAGATGCACCCTATGTACCAAATTTCGTAGTCGTGAATCTATTAGCTTACGCGCAGCGCGAACGAAAGACACACACACACACACACAGACAGACTCTTTGTTTTATTATATGTAGAGATTTGAAGATACAAATTTTTATTACCCTTTATTCATATTTGTCAAAAAAATAAAAACACTCGTTTCGAACTTTTGGAATAAGAGTAAGCATTTCGGTAATACATTTGTATGTGAGAAGCGTTTTCGCAGTTAACAGTTAATCAGAAAAGAACCCAATTGATCGAAAAGCATCAACAGTCCGCGATTAAGATAATTCTCATACAAACATACATATTTTTAATCATGCGACGAACAATTTAATTAATAAAAGAAAATGCCTATGTTATCGCTATTTACTTCTCACGTTTCGTACGTAGGACTTATTTAGCTTCGAAAATTTTCCTATTTTTTTTTAGTTTAAAGTAAAATAAATAAGTTAATTATTAGTAAAATATATTAGAATTATTTGAGATAAATGTCAATTAAAAAATTAATATTTATCTGTCAATGTATTCGAATTCCATAGCGTAAATTTTTGAGTTTTTTCCTAATGGAAAATTATTATTATTATTTATACATGAACATATTTAGTGAGCGAAGTTTAAAGTTTATTTAAAATATTTAAATTTTATTATGAAAATATTTTATTGGATAAAACAAATCTAGTCAGCCAGCCGTTTTTGGATGGTGCATTTCGGCCTGCATACAACTTGAGTTTGAGAACTCTAATCTAAAGCATCATCCTCCAAAACTCGAGGTTCGAGACAATTTTACAGTGGTAATTTATTGTTTGATGATTTATATTCTGAATTACTTCCACGTTTCAGTCAGAAAGGAATAACATTTATCAGTAGTACAAGTCTTCTTATAAATGCAAGATTAATTCTGCGTCTTAGTATTAAAAGATTGATAATCTGGAAGTTTTCAGGCAAAGTTATTTTGGTTTCTGCGAAGTTTCAAATCTTTGATGTAGAATTCAAAGAAATCACGGAGGTTATTGCTTTCTTACCCTTGAAAAGGCATATAGTTACTGTTAATAATAACAGAAAATATTTTTCTTCTTTAAAATTTTGGACATTGGCTCCTTTAAAAAAAATGATTGGACATTGGTCATCCTCAACAAAAATATTTCTTATTGAAACGCACGATCGATAGCAAACAACAGTTGTTTTTACATTGAAACTTGTTATGTAATTGTTCAGATTTTAATTTGACTAAGAATAAAATTTCAAGCAATATAAAAAGTCTTTTAAATTTAAATAGAAATATTGTTATGATTATCTGCAAATCTTTTCAAAAATATTAAACTTTTTAATTTTAAACTGTGGTAGGAACAGATGACCATCATACAGAGTTTCTTGATGAGTAAATGTTGTTATGCATACTTTTTGTCCATAAGATCTGACTTTAAGTCTGCACTTTTGTTGGTGTATTTTTAAGTATTTCTATAAATTAAATATATTCTTTATCTTGTAACTGTAGTATTTCATCAGAAATTTTCAGCCTCCTACGGTGTTACTTTAAGCATTATCACATATTTTTTTAACTCAAAATGCACAAAATTATATCATCTTAAGAATGATCTAATCGTTGCCACATGTTCTATTCAAATACCATAATAAATCTAAAACGATGTATAAAAGAAATTAAACAAATAAAAAAGAAACAATTTTTTACAGACAGTTCAGTATTTCTCATTCAATTAATTCAGTTTTCACGTTGCGACAAGGCAAAAATACATAAAAACTCAAAATATCTATAATGAAAATTACGAAGTAAATCTTAGACACTTATTTCCTCGAATAAATTCCAGAACAGATTAAGCATGATTTAATTCGTAATAATAAAAAAAGGCGTTATCTTTGTTATTGCGAAGCTTAGTTTCTCTATATTGGCAACAAATCAACTATTCTACTGTTTCAAATGTAAGCAAACATAGCCGCCATGGCAAAAATATTAGACTTAGCGGCACTTAAACAGCATTTAAATTTTGATAATTATAAAAAATTTGCATACTGATTTACTAAAGGCATAAAAACCTTAAACGGAAGATAAGAATAACATAATTCAATAATTTTTAAACCAAAAAATACACAATTTACAAACACATAAAAATAAAGAAATTGAGATCATTGTGCCGAATAACAGAGTGGATATATATATATTTATATACTTTTGGTGGGGCCGATTGCAACCAAAATACGAGGTGCACATCTATCTGTTATAGCAATCCTATATACAAAATTCCAACGTTCTGAGGCTACTCGTTTTTGAGTTATGCGAGATATGTACGTACGCACAGACGCCACGAAAAGTGCTCTTCAAAATTCACTTTAAATCAGTTTTACAATTTTTTGGGACAAAAAGAGTCCTTTATTCTGTCCTTACGTACAGATGTCACACAAAAACATCTTTAAATTACATTCGATAGCGGTCAAAACGGATTTTTTACTTCTTACAAGGAAGTAAAAAGAGTTGTAAAATTGTAAGATTACTACTGTTTTGCATCAATTATTTACTTACACTTTCAGCCTTTATTATAACTTCTTTCTTCCATTTCGTCAACATAAATGTAAAGGATTTAGATAATATTTAAGCTTGGGTTTTGGATTGTAAGACCGAGTGTGTTTCGGCCTCTTGAGGCCACATTACTAAATTTTGCCTTCTCTGATAAGATTATAATTAATTGGCTTTTGCGTTATAGCTGCCGTCTTTTAAACTGTTACTCAGGTGGGAAGTTCTGAAACAACTTAGATTTAAATTAAGTTGTGCAGTTCTCGAGTACTAAGTGAAGTTTTAAATTTTAAAACTGACTGTTACTTTAAGATGCCTCGCCAGGAGTGGTGACTGATCCTATGAGCACAAGAAGTGTGTTTATGCTCTAAGTTCTGTTAAATAAAATGTTTTGTTTTAAACCTTTTTAAAGCTCTGTAGTTCAGTTCAGACACAGCTATAATTCGCATAACATCTGTTAGGTGAAAGTCAGACTCTATAAAATAAGTAAATCGGCCCTCATATCGTAAATAATACCTATGATATTAGTATTTAATTTTTTTTTTAAATCTTCTAAAATACTGTCATAGGAAATTACGATTGCTAAAGTTCATTATGAGAATTTATAAAAAAAATGTATTTTCTATTTTATTGACATTAATTTACCCCCGTTTCTGAAAAAGCAGAAATTCTAGATCTTTTATTTAATTAAATGCGACTGTGCGACTCAACTATTTCACAGCGAAGTATCGCCCGTTCATTCAGACAATGGCAGGTCACCTGAACTCCTACACCCATTTTTTACCTGATGATATCCTCCCATCACGTTAGGAAAATTACATGTCAATCATTCTTTTGAAAGCTAAAGAAGCTCTCTTATTTGAACGTCTCTTCCGTCTCCTTTATTTGGAGTGAGCGTTTAGGTATTGATACTTTCACGTCCAATCCTCTCTTAAGTGGAAATTCCACAGATTGGGTGAAACCACAAAAAGATCCCTAAGAGAAAAGTAATCACTTCACTTATGTAAATTATTGCTAACATTGTATCATTTTACCTGGGAAGTGGGGGATGAAATTCGTATACACGGCTTTTTAAATATTTGAGGGAAACATATTTTGACCTTCGTCTTTTCACTTGCTAATTGTGACTTAAATTATATAATTCTGATGATTTCGTTCAGCTTGAATTATTGAATTATATATTAATGACTTTTCTCTATTTTCCCTTCGCAAAGAATTTCAATGGGGCAAGAAACATTTTACTCCTTGGCGTTTTTCTTTGTATAAGGCCTATGAAAAAACTAAAATTCTGAAAAAAATTCTAGACGGCCTCACGTCTAGAAATTTTTTCAGAATTTTAGTTTTCTAGGGATAAAAAATGTTGTAGTAAAAACTTCTGTCTGATTGATTTCTTAAATATGAATGACAGTTATCTATATTAAATCGTTAAACTATTAATAACGGAACTAAATATGATTCCTGAATCGTGTTTTAAGATGAAAAATCATGTTTTAATATTTTGATTTTATAATATGAAGCAAAAGCACAAAATTATTTGAGCTGCAGCGAACATCTTTAATTACTCTCTTAAAATAGAAATGTTATGGTTTGAAATTAATGTAAACAAACACACCGAAAATGTCATCATATATTTGACACTTCTATAGAGGGATTATGTAAATATTCTATGTGCCTGTTCAAAGAGTTTTTTTGCTTCCAGCAGCCTTTAGGGAGCATTAAATTCAAGAGCAATTAATATTCTGTTTACTGAAATTTCCGAAGGAATATTGAAGGAGCTTAATTCCTAACTCCTTTCCAGATTGAAAACTTTTAGGCGAGAACGCGGATTTTTAAGAAAACGTTTTCAGAAACAACTTTAATCCATAACTTTGTTTCAAAAAATATGTTGCCATGTTTAAATCTTTTGACGAAGATACACAGTGCTGAAATTTCGAAACAAGACTGATGATAGATTAAAAGAAGAAAATACTCTACGAAACTGCCAGCTTTGATTTATTCGAAGGAAATTCCAGTGGGATTTATACAAGCAAGTGTAAATAAATACATTTACTATGAGTATAAAATACTAAAGTAAGGTTATTATTACTTTCATATAGCAAAGAAGAGAATAAAAACACCGCTGTAAAAACATTACCCTTATGAACTCGTATTACATAATTTGGACAATAGGAAACAACCTCACAAGGCTAACAATGAAGAGTAAACACAATCTAACAAAAATACATTTTTTTTTACCGATGGGAACTTAATGGACAAAAATATTATTGCAAAAACAGCAACTGCACTTATTTTCTGACTTCACTATAACATTTTAGAACATGCAAATAAAGCGCAGGTGCAGTACGTTTTCAATTAGATAAAAACAAATAGAATTCTCTTAGAAAGACGTCTTTTCACTCTAGTGATCCAATAGGTGAGTTCGATAAAGACTGACAGTTCGACTCGGGTTCAGTTACCAACAAACAGGCTGAACTCCGGACTTTCTCATGTGAAAATGAGGTGTTTTCCTACCATAAAATATTCCACTAGAGCATCCCTTCCGCGACAGACAGTCTTAAGCGGCTTAAGCCTTCTGACTTAATTTCAGCCTCCTGCGACATAAGTTTTGCTAAACACAATTAGCCAGTTCTCTACTAATATAGATGGTTTCCGATTTAACCATCCATATTAGTAGAGAACTTTAACTTTTAATTTTCTAACATTTCAACTTTTAATTTTTTTTCTATTAATTTTTTAACGCAGACTTTTAATTTTTTAAAAAAATTTTTGAGTTTCACTAGGCCTTTTGAAGTGTCGCTTCAAAGACAAGTGTACAGTTCCACAAGATAATGCGATACATGTACATTGCGATTTCTTTTGCATTTTAAAACAGTGAAATGACAGTAGATACAGTCAGATACTTAGGATGAAACAGTTCTTAATTCACAGACATCAGGACTATATATTCTATATAAAATTAGCTTAGTTTCCAGCTATGTAAAACCTAATTTTTAAATGATATATCCAATTGAATTATTTCTATACGTTTTAGCGCAGGAATGGGCAAACTAAGGCCCGCCGGAAGGTTCTATCCGACCTGAGGATAGAACCGAGGCAAATTAAAAGAAATATATACTTATATATTATATCCAATCTTCCTTTTTACCAATGATCATGTACGGCGCTTGGGGACTTAGAGCAGGGGAGCTTGTCAGGTTGAGGCTTAAGCTTGATAGCATACAGAGAGCTTGGGCTTTGGCGGTCACAAGATGCTTTAGGGCAGTCCCTATTGAGGCTGTGTTTGTCTTGGCAGGATGGCCGCCCCTTTCAATTCTCTACGAATTCTTTCTGCACAAATTCTTATTACGTACCAAACGAACTGATTTTAAAATATATAATGATTATATTGTCATTATTAAAATATATAATGATTATATAATAATATATAAGTATGTTTTTGAGCACTATAATATGCACCTTTTTAAAAGAGTTGGCTTTTTTATGACAAAGAGATTGTTGATTCTAGTGCATACGGTATACATACAGACAGGTCTGGGATTGAGGGGAGGGTTTCAGCAGCATTTGTTGTATATTATTTTGGTGTCGAAATCGACTATATGAAATTTAGATTAAACAACTATAACTCTATCTTTCAGGCAGAATGCGAGGCTCTATATCAAACCTTAATTTGGATTAACAGTTGCGTTGCTTTTCGAAATGCAATTAATTATTTACACACATTGTTTGTCGCTGCTTCAGTCTCTCTCCCGCCCAGACAACGCCAATCCCATCATCTTGAAAATCAAAACCTGTTTACAAATTTTGAAGGTGTATTTAGATGTAAAACTGTATTGGATCAAAGCTCATGTGGGGCATATTGGAAACGAGAGGGGCGACTGTCTGGCCAAGGAGGCAGCCTCCGATATGGATATCCCCTTTAGTGAAATTTCAGGATCTAAACAGATGGCGATCACACACATGAAGAAATTTTACATTGACAAATGAAAAATCCTATGGGAAAATTCACCATAAAATAAAAGATACATGAAAATTACAAGAATTTCTAACAAAATGACTATTTTTAGCAATACTGATTTAAAACAAATCTTAACTGGCCACGGGAGATTTCCCGATTATTTTAAGAGATTCAACTTACAAAATAATGAACTTTGTGCTTCTTGTAATGCCATTGGAGTCGCGAAACATTTTGTGGAGGACTGTCCTATTTTCGGCGATCAGAGGAAGCTTTACGAAATTGATAATGCTTTATATAATGATAATTTTGATATTAAGGCTTTTATATCTTTTGCACAAGATGTTTTTAAATTTATTAATGCAAATCGAGGTGTAATTGGAATTCTGATCTCATGTTGTCTGTCCTTTGTGTTAATTTTTGTTTGTATGTTCGTGATTGCTTGTTGCATGTTTTTCCCTGCTTTTATTTTATATTTGAGTATTATTTGTATCTTATTTATATATTGTATTATGCATTATTTATTTTGTATCTGATGTTCTTTTGGAGTCACTCTTTTTTTTTTTTTTTCCTGTGAGGCCACTTTGTGGCCAGGAGGGTCTGAGTGCACCACGAATGCATATCCATCTCCTTTGTTTAAATATTATTTTTCTTCTTCCTTTTTTTAAAGGGCTGATGATCTTTTTACTTTCTCTATTTTTGTTCTACAAAACATAAATTGACGGAAATAGCAAGCACAGACAGCTTTCAATCGGTAAAGTGTTAAAAGGAAGATCTTTGTTAATGATAGCTTTAGATTGTCGCCAACAAGCGTTATTTCTTTCTCGGGGAGCAGACATATGGGAATCCAATATAGGTGAAATAGACTTCACATATGGCAGACTGAGCATTTTAAGATCCAAGCCCGCGTCTTTTTCTTTTAGCGCGAGTTCTAATATTATTGATTTCGTATGGAAAAATTGCGGACATATAGCATCATTGTGAATAGTGGTAAAATTATTAAATGTATAGCGTAGCTAGTGCTTGTTTGGGTTATTCGTAAAATATTCCATCCCCAAAATGGGTACTAAAAACATAAAGTTGATTCAGAGTGCTGTGCTTTTATTGATAAATGGACTTGGAATATTTTCTACAGTTGTAAAAGATAAACCAGTGTGTCTCATCTGCAAGGAAGCTGTAACAGTCTTCAAAGAATATAATATTTCCCGTCATTTCACATTTAATTATAAGAATGCCAATTACGAAGCAATGTCCAATATGAAAGAAAAAAATGCAGAAAGTCTTTGTAAAAATTACCAGACGGACAAAATGTTTCCAAGGAGGTAAACAGTATCCAAGAAGCAGCTACACATGCAAGTTACATTGTAGCATACAATATTGCTAAAAATAATAAAGCTCAGTGATGGGGAGCTCGTTAAACAATGCATGCTCCAAGTTTGTGATGCTTTCTGTCCAGACAAGAAAAACAATTTTGAAACTGTAAGGTTATCTCTAAAAACAGTGATTTCTAGAATTGAAGACATCGATAAAAATTTGACATCACATTTAGAGTCAAAGATTGGTCAGTTTAAATTTTGCTCCATAGCTATAGATGAAAGTACTGATGTAAATGGTACTGCTCAATTAGTATTATTTATAAAAGCTATTGATGAGAACTTTGAAATTACCGAGGAACTGGCGTGCATGCGTTCTTTAAAAGGAACTAGAACGGGATGTGATATTTTTCGTGAATTTCAGGAAGGGCTTTTAACTTTGAATGTGGCTATAACAAATATATGCAATATTACGACTGATGGAACACTAAATATGATAGGGGAAAAATCTGCATTTCTCGGAAACTTTAATTAAAA